CACATGGGCAGATATTATCTAGAGATAATAGGATGTCGGACTGACCCATCCTAAAGATGTTGCTTGAACTTTTAGTTCATGCTCTAAGCATCTTTAGCACGACCACGGGTGTAACTATCCTTCGACTTGAAGTATTACGTTTTTTGCATATGTGAACCCGCATGCTTTGATGCATTATCCTAAGCCATATGAAATAAGGATGGTATACATGCTTTGTTTTGGGTATGCCGCAGCGCGTATTCAGAAACGTAGATTACGTACATAGGATTTGTCACTACTCTTTATAAAGAGATTAATGTCTTATGGGGCCCACTGATAAGTTATGACTGAGGAAATTGCATGGCCATGCTGAGATGTTTTTTATGACGTCTGTTCCTATTAGTCAGACTTGATAAATCAGTGAATGACTTAATGGATACAAGCTGGATTTTATTAATCCCTTGCATTAAGTCTATACATTGAGACAAAGGAATATAGTTACACGTAGTCTGAGTTGTGGAAAGGTTTTGACGGTGCAAACGTAGGATTAAACAATGGGATAATAAGTAATTTGTATATTTGTAAAATAGTAAAATAAAATATTTTGGAATATAATATTATATATATAAATATTCGGTTATATATATTATATATATATATGTGCCGATTAATATATATATATATATTGTATATTGAATATTTTATTTTGGTTTGTCATTTTAATTATGAAAATAATTATTTTGACATAAACTATTTGAAGTATATTTATACTTGTTTAAAATGATATTGTTATTTTTATTTGATTTAAAATTAATTTTATATTAATTTTTTATGTCAAATAAAGTACACTTAGAATATTTTAGTGGAGAAGAATTTTGAAAATCCTTCCCACTTTCTCATATCAATCTTTCGGCCATGAGGTGATAAAAGGGAGAAGCTTTGTTTGATTTTGGATTGAAAAGATAAGGGAAATTTATTAAATTGTCATTTAGTGAACAATTAGTCCACTTTAAAGATTGGTTTTTCACAAACCACATAGATGATTTTTGTGAAGAAAATTTCGGCCAACATATTTTCTAGAGAGAGAAAATAATTTTGTGTTCCATTAATATCATTTTGTGTATAGAAAATATCTATAATATTTTCTAAATATTATTAGAAATATTTTCTATAGAAATATACAAGATTATTATTATCCTAAATTTTAATCTTTATATTTTATACTACAATAATCTTTACTAGCATAAAGATTGTGGTAGACTCCGGCGTTGTTCGTGTGTCAAAGTTGGAGACCGGACGCTTGAACGGTTACGTTTGCACTTTCAACGTTCTTCCAACGACTTCTTCGTTTTTACCGCTTACGGAAAAAGGTATAAATTTCTAACTACTATATGTTTTAGTACGTGATTCTGGGCAAGATAATCATGTTAGGATGTTAAAATTTTTATATTCCGCTGCCTATCCTTGCATGGTTACCTTTCACGATCTATAACCGAAAACCCGAAATGATCCGAATCGAACCGAAACCGAACTAAATAATTCATATCCGATTTAAATCCGAAACCGATTAGATCCGAAACCGATAATTTCCGAACCGATTAAACCCAAAACCGATTAGATCCGAACCCAATAATACCCGAACTGATAAAATCCGAAACCGATTAGATTTGAAACCGATAATATCTGAACCCGATTAGAACTAAAATCGATAAATTCCGAACTATGTTTGCCTTTCAATAAGCATATTATATTTTTAAATTTTTACTTTTATTTTACCATTTGAACTAATTACATTACTTGTTAATTCGCTCATAAAATTGATTATCTTCTTGAAAAAAGTACAAAATTTTATGCCTTAAATTTGTTATATGTATAAATTAAAGATAAGTTATACATATAAATGATAACGCACAAACACATAAAATTTCCATAATTTTTAAATAGTGAAGTGTGAAATTTTTTTTGGGATGAAAGGAATATATGATGAATTATATGGAATAACTAGATTTTATCCTAATTTCATCTCATTACAATAAATTTTATTGATTTGAGAGTTAATTTGATTAGTTTCAAACCAATTCACTCAATATTAGTCAATAAAATTAGATGCTAGTGTTAACATTTTGAAAAGACTCTCTAGCGGCAACCTTTGCTGTTATAATTTTCAAATTTGATCTACACCATTACATTTAGGTGTAAAATTAATTATATTTGACTCTATTAAATTTAATTTTCTTTATTTTCAACCAAATATACTCAATAATTTACAAATTTTGCACTCGATTGAATAAAATTAACTTAATTTCACCCAATTTTATTCAATTTTTACCACATTGTATTCAAATGGAACATAAGACTATTTGAATTTATCTTTTATCCTTTCATTTATGTACATAAGTATATTACGGAGTAGTAGATGTGAGAAAAATTTGATATTTCAAAACTAAATTTTAAAATCAATTTAATTATATTAAATTTATATCATAATTAAATATATATGTTTTCATAATTTGTAGTCCAAATTTGTAAAATATGACTAAAAAGTCAAAAAGGGAAGATTATTTAGGGTAGAGATAATATAACTAGAAAAAAATATAAAATAATATGAGGTATNTATCTTTTATCCTTTCATTTATGTACATAAGTATATTACGGAGTAGTAGATGTGAGAAAAATTTGATATTTCAAAACTAAATTTTAAAATCAATTTAATTATATTAAATTTATATCATAATTAAATATATATGTTTTCATAATTTGTAGTCCAAATTTGTAAAATATGACTAAAAAGTCAAAAAGGGAAGATTATTTAGGGTAGAGATAATATAACTAGAAAAAAATATAAAATAATATGAGGTATTGAATTGATGATAGATTGATAAATGTGATAAAACATAAAAAGAAACACAAATAGTTAAATTTTAATTAGAAAATAATATATATCCAAAATATATTTGATCCGAAACCGAAATATATCCGAACCGAACTAGACCCAAAACCAAAATATATCCGACTCAAATTGTATCCGAACCGAAATTTATCCGAACTGATTTATAACCGAACCGTATCTGAACGAACTCGAATCCGAACTGAACCGAAAAATGTATAGAACCAAAATCAAATCCAAACCGAAATTTAACCGATCCGATCCGAACCGAACCGATTATAACATATAACCGAAAGATATCTAAACCGAAAAAATCCAACCCGAAACCGATCCAGTTGATCCGATTGCCACCCCTACTCTTATACCACAATATCATCATACTCTTATTTTGGTCTTAAAAGACTTAAAATTTCTATTTTGGTATTTTCATACATTTTTACTCCTCTCCATAGAGATTTTTTTCTTAACCTCATAATTATAAGTCAATACCATATGAAAAACGATGTTTTTAAGAGCATTATTTCTAAAATTGTTAATAACATAAGAATGTCACCTCATATAGGAGCAAGTTAAAATATAGTCTATAATTTCAAAATAAGAGTGACATATTTTTATCTCTAAAATAAAATTATTACACTATGACAATGTGACAATATATACTAGCTCCGTTCCAATTTATAGTGCCTGTTTCGGTTTACGATGTTTGACTGAAATTATTTTCAAATAATTATATATGACAAATGGTATAGAGTTAAAAATAAAAAATATATATTAAAATACTACATCAAAAGATTTACAAAACTAATAGTGACAATAGTACTTTATTTTGTCAAATTGCTAACAAAAATAGAGAAAGAAAATGAATGAAATTTGATCATGTGAATAGTGAACAAACATTATAAATTGAGACGAAGGAAGTATATTGGTATTATTAAAATTATGGATCCTATTTTGAAGATAAAATTATGAAGATCTTATTTTAATTTTTTCTATATTTTACTTGTATTTGAATCTTTCGCTCCTAACATAAACATGAGGGATGCTAGGGGTACATTAGAAGTGTACCCCAAAATATGTGGCAATGGAGGGGGTGGGGTGCATTTGAGGTACACTTTTGGTGTACCCCTAGCATTTTTGCTATGAATAATAGCCAATACCCTTAATTTGCCAAATATAAATTTTTAATTCATTCATCCCAAAAAATAAAAACTCATCTCTCCAAAATATAATTTAAACAATTGAATCCAGTCATTTTTTTTAGATTCATCACAAAAATCAAATATCATATCTCCAATCTCCAAAATATAATGTAACCAATTGAATCAAGAAATTTTTACAAATAGAAGTAAAACAAAGTTATTTTCTTAGGACCACATTTTAATTTCTCAAATAATGTGGACCTCAATTTCTGACATTCATATATCCATGTGCTCTCTCTACAAAATTTTAATACTCCCAATCTAGAGCAGTAAGTCCATTGTCCAATTAACTTACACTATCCCTAAAAATTACTCCCTCCGTCCTAAAACTTTCTTCTCAGTTTGACTTTTTTCCATTTCTAATTTTTGGCTTTGACTTCAAATTTTACCCTCCTTAAAAAAGATTTTTTGAAATTTTTTTTGCAATCATTCAAAATATAGAGTTAGAAGATAATTGGTGTAAATACATGAGAGTATTAATGTCATTTGTCATCTTTTTTTCTAATGGGAAGATAGTTTTAGGACGGAGAAAAAGGGGAAGTGGGAAGAAAGTTTTAGGACGGAGAGAGTATTATATTTACAAATAACCCTCGCACCGGAAACTACGACCCGATCCAGCAAAAACATTAATGTTTTGAAAATGTTATTTAAGAGTACTCTCTAACTTTTAAAATTAATTTACACCATTATAATTTTAGTCCCTTTAAAATTCTTTTAAGTTCATCCTTCTTTCAAATGTTCTCTTCTAAAGGTCTCACCACAAGTTTGAGTACAAAGGTTGGTCTATATTAAAAAAGTTACTCATATATTAAAGTATTATACTCTCGTCATGTAAATGTTTTTACTTTTTTTAGTTGTGTCCATTTAAAAAAAAGAGTAAATTCTAGATTATTATGTTCGTGCTCTTTAATATTTGAGAACTATTATCAAATTCTAGTCAGATATAATGTTTAATTCGCATTGCAAGTCACTCAATGCTGCTAATTAAAAATGGGTCCCTGTCAAAACTTACTATAAATCCTATCACACAATAACCACGATGCAGAAGTTTGTAAAATAATTTTACAACATAAGGAAAAAAAAGAGCAAGACGAACCGCGTAAATGGCGAGAGAAATGCCGCTTCAAGAATCGTGAGAATTGCGAGAATCGGGCTGCAGGCCAATAATTTGGGAGAGAACAGCCTTCGAGATCTCATTGATTACGAGTTTAGCCTGATAATCATCGTCCTGGTCTCTCTCCCGGGACAACCACGCTCCTCCTTTTGTTTGTGAGCTTAACCGGGAGTAGTATTCACTAGCAGCAGTTCTTGTATTCTTTGATGTGGCAATCACTTTCTCCAAATCCTTCTCAGATAATGCCCTTGGCCCCCCCTGTGCAATTGTGAAGAGGAAGAAAATTAAGCATTCAAAATCCAACTAATTTTGTCTTGATTAAAAAATGGTTTTTTTACTTTTTTGTGCTTATTTAAAAGAAAGCGGCAAATTGTGCTTATTTAAAAGAAAGGACTTGTCAAAATAGCACTTGTAGCCCCCAAAACAGTTCAGAAACACTTACCGAGCCTGACTTTCCATTTCTTTCATCATCTAGAAGCTCGCGAATAGAGTAATATGCAGCTTTCTTACAGAGATCGAGAAGCTCTGAACCAGTGTATCCATCACACAAACCAGCTATGTGTTCATAATCAATGTTCTCTTGGACCTTCTCACCCTTGAGTATCACTTTTAGAATCTCTACTCTCTCCCGGCGATCAGGGATCCCAATCTCAAAGGCCTGTGGAAGACGCCTAAGGATTGCTTCGTCAAGCTCCGATGGACGATTAGTTGCAGCAAGTACCATCACCCGTGCACTCTCTGTCAAAGGGACAATACTGAAGCATTACTGACACATGAACTGCCCAGAGAAACATTTGCATCACCAACCAGGCTAAAATGTTCTTCAATCTGGCTTTTTAATCCCCTTTTTTCACCCTTTTCAAGAGTCTATTTGGGTGGGGATTTTGGAGGGCTAATTACACACATATCTTACTGGGGAGGGTGTGTGTAGCAGTGTAGCAAACCTTACCCCTACTCAAAACAAGAGAGACTGTTTCCACAAGACCCCAGCTCTGGCACAAACAAAGAAAAACTCCCACATCTTGCTTTATGCTACGTGTACAAAGTAGTTGAGATTTTATAAAATTTGAAAGAATAACATCATAGATGATCATATATAATATTCCCGATGTCCATAATATGTTTCTAGGGAACAACCTATTTCAGAACCCAAAGTATATCTGACCTTATCTCCTCCAAAACATTAGTTGCAAGGCAAATTCTACATATGAGCAAAATAAGCATTTCCTTTCTACTTATATAAGCATCTATTTAAAAAAAATTAAAAAAAAGATTTTTTTATGTGAGAAGGTCCACAAAAATTGTATGCACCCAAGGTGCACCATAGAAGCACTCTAGTTGCAAACCCCTCCATCCATACAAAGCAAACCTTAAGTGTCTGACAAGGCTAATTCTTTTTAGAGTAAAATAAGCTCTAAAATAAGGGAACCTAGGTCATTTATGCCCATATAGAAAGTTCAGAACACCACAAAATGATAAAAACCAGATGTATTGTTCAGTAAGAAAAAGCTTACGGTCTGTGGTGAAACCATCCCACAAAGTCATGAACTCAGTCTTCATATTAGTTAGTGCTTCATTGTCATTGGCCTTCCGTTGACCCAAAAAACTATCCACCTCATCAATGAATATAATTGCTGGTTGGAGTTTATATGCCAAGCTAAATACAGCAGCCACTACAAAGTTGGAGCACATAAAAGAAATCTGTCTTAGCACAGTGGAAGAAATATTCAAAATGCCAAATTTACAAATTGACATATTAGCAAGAATATAAAAAGTAATCCCTCTGTCCCTATATTAGTACCCCATATGATTGGGCACCATTAAAGAAAAGAGAAAAGTGTGTAGTTGAATTTGTTTTAGAAGAGAAAAAATACGAGTATAAATAATACGGAGTATTTTGCTTCACTTCAAATGAAATGGGTGACTATTTCGGGTCGGATGGAAAAGGAATCTGTGGTTTATGCTTAAACCCCATTAAGGGCATGCTTGATGAGCAAAAACCCAGTATGGGTTCTGATACCCCACAGTATCAAAGATTCAAGTTCCCCAAAAAAGTGTTTGGTGAAGCCAATGAAGAACTCAGCTATGAAATTTAGAGATATGGGAACTCTCCAAAAGGAGGGATATTCAATCACACAAGTTCATAACCCAACCCTCTACATCTCCTCCTCTTCTTTGCAATACTTTTGCATCTCACATGTGATTTTGCTTCTCTCCTTCAATTCTCAAGGGGAATATCCCTCCCTTCACACGGGTCAAGGAATGTCTAGAGCTCTCTCCTTCACCATCTCGCATCTTCCACATCGTCTCTCTGACACAATATCAACTGCCTCTGTGCGCTTCTCTGTCTACATGTCGGCACTATCTCGGCGCTCGATGTGGCAGCAATTGTTGCACGTTCTACTTAAGTCTTTGCCGATTTTTATTCCCTTTTGGTGTGAGCCGGAAATGGTTGGGTTCAACAATTATTATGCTTCATTTTTTCCCCAATTGTTAGAGGTTCAACACTTTTTTTCTTCTTTTTTGGCATGCCCCCCTGAAATTGTGTGCCAAAATTGACTATACTTTACTAAATGGTGAACATTTGAATTTGGTTCCATGTATTCTCACCAAACAGCAGCAACTCGAACTTGGTCCATTTAAGATTTCTCCAACACTTGTTTTGGACTTTAGAACTCATTCTACTCATTCCATATTTCAGAACCCACTACATTTCAAATATGTTTTGTTCACCAAAGAGGCCCTAAGTACGTTAAAAGTGAAGAAAAATCCTGGGAGTAATAAGTTAGAAGTGGAGAAGCAACTGCAAGTTAGATTAAAACACATCCCTCTAATACCCACATAAATGTGCAAGGAATAAGCTTTTTAAATGACAAAGGAGAGTTTGTCAATAAAAAGCAGAGGGAAAAAAGTACAGAACTATATATATGACACTTAACTCACCTAATTTTTGAGCATCACCAAACCACTTGCTCATAAGACTTGAAACCTTAACATTAATGAAGACAGCTCGTGATTCTTTTGCAATTGCTTTTGCAAGCATGGTTTTCCCTGTTCCCGGAGGCCCATATAACAACACACCCTTCTGTGGGCCAAGAAGCTTTCCATGAGAAAATAGCTCTGGTCTTCGTAAAGGAAGAATCACCAACTCATATAGTGCTTGTTTTATAGCTTCTAGTCCGCCAATAGAACCAAACTCCACATCTATATGGTCAGGATTAATTACATCACAGGCAATTACATCCTGTATACAAAAAGGATTCGATATCAACACTCTTGCACAATATACTACAACCTCCGTCCCAATTTAGATTTAAGATGCTTTTAATGTTGGTATGGTACAACTGTTATAAATCATGAATCCCACATACTTTTCTGGGACCCTCTTTTGTTAAAAGAGTTTTTGAACCACGCCTGATGAATAAGAATTAAGTATAAATTCTATTGGTACACGACACATGAGAGCAATTTAGATGAGCAGATGAAATATAATTGGGAACCACAACAACAACATGCATTCATTTAAAGTTAATCACAATGTTGCTGGAGGCTCCTGTTTTACTCATCTATACATGATTGTTTGGTTCACTGTTGAGACTCATTCTTCAGAATAAAACATGTATTGATTGTTCTCACTATATTGCTACAGTGATGAAGCGAAAGAAGCAGAGTGCTTTCTCATCTGCACATCAAGTCACTTCATTGCTGACTAAGCTGAGCAACCTCACCATCAAATCTGACACCTTATTCGATTTAGGGTGATCTTTAATTGCAAGCGTAAGCATAATGATGAGCCTTAAATAAGTATTGGTTACTCCATCACCTCTAATAACTCACCTTATTCTAACAGGATATAAGCATCGTTAAAAAAGGATATAAGAAACTAAAGCAAGATTAGGAAAACCTAAAAACTTGAAGCAAATCTTGGTTGCTCCCTTTCTGATCAATTTGCACCCTAAGTTAGTACCCATATGTATTAAGAAAAAAAAGGATGAGCCCCATCCCCAAGGTCCCCCTCAGACCCAGCCGGCCAGACAGTTACTAAGGGGAGGTAAATTAGACTTTAATCGAAGATTGAGGCAACTATGCTTAGAGGCTTGAAATTTAGTGGTGTTTGTCATTCTTGGGCACCTAAACTAGATATAGGACACCTAAACTAAGGGAAATGTTATTTGCACTCCTATTTTTTGTTGGTTGCAACCCCTAAATCATTATTTACCTCTCACATGCCTAAATCATTAGTCACCTCTCACATGAAAAATGCAAAACGTTATTGTCATTCTTGGGAACCTAAACTAAATCTATTCAATTCCGCCCAAACTGTCCGAGATGGGGTTCGTCTAGGGTTGTAAATGAATCGAATATTTTTTGTTCGATTCGTGATTCGTATTCGTTTAAGGTGATTCGTATTCGATTTTTTCAAATCCGAATACGAATACGAATCTGAATATATATTCGAATCCTTATCGAATACGAATATGAATCAAGGGTATTCGATTCGTGAGTTTGACAAATATATTCGGAATATAAATCTAATTATACAAATTATATATATATATATATATATATATATATATATATATATATATATATATATATATATATATCAAATGGTTATAAAATATTTTTAAACGAATATTTTTAAACGAACCGAATATATTTAAACGAATCGAATATTTAAACGAACCAAATATGTTTAATATATTAAACGAACCGAATAAGAATCTTAAAAAATATTCGAACGGAATTCGAATTCGAATTCGAATATCACTCCATCTTAACGAATATGAATATTTTTCATGAATATTCGATTTGATTCGGTTCGTTTACAACCCTAGGTTCGTCCTTTTCTCTGTTAACATTCGGCACATTGCCAATTGCAACACTAAAGAAGATTAAGGGGCATGAAATTCATAGTCAATTCAATTAGTTGCCGAAATTAGTCCAATCAATGTTTTACCCCAGATGCCTTCCAGTTGAAGATTTCTAAAGAAGGAACAAATCACTCAAACAATAAGAACGTTCAATTCTAAAAATTAGGGTTTGGGTCCATCTGCATAAAAGGTACTCCCTCCGTCCCATAAAGTGTTACCCATTTTGACTAAAGTAGAAATTAAGGGAGGGATATTTTTGTGTTGACTTTCCAAAAATACCGTTGATGTGATGGGTAAAAATAAGATGTGATGTGTAGATTATTAGGAAAAAGGTATGATGTGATAGGTAGGATTTGAAAAAGTAAGGGGTAAAAGTGGTTTTTTAATAGAAATGGGTAGGAGATTGTGGGACACAATTTTTTTGAAAAGTGTAAATCTTTTTGGGATGGAGGGAGTATTTGAATTTCAACATTTCAAGGTTCAATCATTCAGAACCAATATTGGTAGATTCAGATGGAACTACGGCAGTCTTCGACAAAGTTCATCATACAACTTAAAGTAGAAATAAATTATTCAAATAAAATTAAACACATAAAAGAAGCAAATTATGGCAAAAAGGGTTTACTATATGGAAGAAAGCACGAGAAAAAGAGAGGTGAGCAGTGAAAAGGGACCTCATAGGGATTGGTCTTGATATACGGACGACCCAGACGCTTGGCGATTTCCTTCTTTTGTTCGACGGCCTTATTTGTAGCTTCACGGTTCGGGTCAAGATGCCGGAGGCCGACGAACAACACGAGGCAACTTATAGCTGTGCTGGCGGCGTACCAGAACAATTTCTCCAAGATCTTCGTCCCCGGGGAACCTCCACCCTCCATCGCAAAGATAGATTAAGAAGTACTCGATAAAATGAAAACAAAAAATCACTGAGAGCAATAACAATATGGGGCCTGTGTTTGACGATGAGCTAGGGGAAGTTTTTTTTTTTTTTAAAAAAAAGAGGAAGTTAGAAAAAAGGAAGACGAAGAGGCGCTATAATAGCCCCCACCACCACATGGGAGATCTATTTGGGGATACTCTATTGTATTACCCCGGAGTATATGTTTCTTGTCCAAGTTGCCCGCATCAGTAGTTCAGTTGGTCAAAAGCGTGAAATCTTGGACCGATGACCAGAGATTGAATCCCGCAAGCGGCAGTGTGGGACAGTGGGAGCTATCCAAAAATCCCATAAAGGGTGAGGAGGCTCCTTGTGCGCGGTGGGCACGGGTCTAGCGTTCTTGGCCGACTGAGTCACCATGATTTACATCCTCCACCATTCCTGTCGGGCAAGGGGGTGGGGGCGCCTGGGGTGGGCGATTCCACCTTTTGGACCGATGTTTCTTGTCCAAGTTGATGAAAATTGTTAATGAAAATGAGAAGCAAAACTAAAATAATAAACCAATAATGAAAGGAGATGGTTAGAGTTGACTAAGGACTATGACTGTCACATCGCTTACCACCCATGTATAGGGGTGGTCACGGTACCGGTACAGTACCGGTACCGGAAACGGTACTGCCGGTTCCGGTACCGTTACCGTCGGCCGGTACGGTCCACCGGTTCCGGGAACCGGTACCGGTACCGCCCAATCCGGTACCGGTTCCGGTGCCCATTTTTCGGTACCGACACCGGCGGTTCCGGTTCCGGTACCGTTACCGTTTTTTTTTTATTTCATTCTTTCCTTTATCAATTTCATTTTTAGATTTTTTTATTTCATCATTTCCTTTAACAATTACACATTTACAATTTTATATTTTAAAAATATAATAAAAAAGCAAAAAAAAACAAAATTAGGGGTGGCCGAAACGGTACCGGAACCGGCGGTACCGGAACCGGTACCGGCCGGTCCGGTACTGGTACCGGTACCAAGGGGTGGCGGTACCGGAACCGGCGGTTCCGAAACCGGAACCGTCCCGGAACCGTACCGTGTCCACCCCTACCCATGTAAGATGAACATGGTGGCTAATGCCCTTAGTCGCAAGACCGTAGATGTACTCCGAGTTCAGCTCCAGGAGATTGTGACAGCACAGCGCGAAGACGACTTCTGCAAGCAGACTAGTGAGCTCGTCTCTCGAGGTGAGAAACCTGACTTCTCCGTACGAGAGGATGGCGTCTTGTTCTATCAGGGTAGTGTGGTGGTGCCAGTAGGGAAGGTGAGGGAACGTCTCCTTCGCGATGCACACGGGACTGTATACACCATGCACCCAGGTAGTAACAAGATATTCTAGGATCTCCGGAAACATTATTGGTCGCCAACAATGAAAAGAGAGATCACGAAGTTTACAGCTCGATGTTTTACATGCCAGCAAGCAGCAGGTTAAGGCTGAGCATCAGGTTCCGACCGGACTACTTTAGAAGATTACTGTTCCCAAGTGGAAGTGGGATCGTGTCACAATGGATTTTGTAGTGGGGCTGCCATTGTCGCCTCGTAAGAACGATACAGTTTGGGTCATTGTGGACCGTTTGACTAAGTACGCACATTTCTTTCCAATACGGCGAGATTTCTCCCTACATCGATTGGCAGAACTGTACATCCGCGAGATCATTCGGTTACATGGAGTCCCTTCATCAACATCTCGGATCGCGAACCGCATTTCATATCTCAGTTTGGAAGAACTACAGAAAGCTATGGGCTCTAATCTCCATTTCAGTACGGCCTTCCACTCACAGACGGATGGTCAATCTGAGAGAGTTATTCAGATCCTCGAGGATATGATGCGCGCATGCGCAATCGACTTCGGAGATGGCTGGGAGCGTTATCTACCGCTGATGGAGTTTGCGTACAATAATAGCTATCAGGCTAGTATCGGTATGGCACCGTATGAGGCTCTGTACGGTAGACCGTGTCGGACTCCTAGTTGCTGGACTAAGCTCAGCGAGAGAAAGTTGGAAGGATTTAATTTAGTTCGTGAGACCGAGGAGAAGGTCCGAGTGATTAAGGACTGACTTCAAGTGGCTTCGGACCGACAGAAGTCCTACGCAGATCTTAAGAGGCGCGACACTGAGTACGCGGTTGGGGACAAAGTCTTCTTTAAAGTCTCCCCTTGGAAGAAGGTCCTACGGTTTGGTAAAAAGGGGAAACTCAGTCCGAGGTTCATAGGCCCTTACCCGATCACTGAACGTTTGGGACCCGTAGCCTATAGGCTTGAGTTACCACCTGAGCTAAGTAAGATCCACAACATGTTCCACATGTCCATGCTCCGAAGATATCGGTCAGATCCCTCTCATGTGATCCCAGCAGATACAGTCACCCTTGATGAGAATCTCACGTATGAGGAAGAGCCGGTTGAGATTCTAGCTCGCGATATCCGGCAGTTTAGGAACAAAACCATTCCTTTGGTCAAAGTTCTTTGGAGAAGTCACTCCATTGAGGAGGCGACTTGGGAAACGAAGAATGTATGTGCACCCGTTACCCAAATCTCTTCGGTGACCAATGATCAGGTAAATTTCAAGGACGAAATTTTTCTTAAGGGGTGGGTAATTGTAACGCCCTGAAACCCGGTCTATTAAAATTGGTTAATTTAATTAATTAATTACTAACTCAGACCGGGGTTAAGAAAAATAAAGCGTTTGAAAAAATTATTTGATCACACCATAATACTCGTCTTGACTGTCCGATTACAAAAACACGAACATATCTCAGTTCGGACCAGTTTAGGGGAAAAAGCGTGTATCGTTCAAGTTAGTTTTTTATTTATGGAGTAACACAAAAGGTGACTCCCCAATTGCCCCACATGTACACGCCACACCCCCCTCTCCACATTCATTCTCCTCTTTTAATTCCCCACCTCACCACCATTACTCCCCTTTATTATATACACCTCTATCCCTTAATCCCTTCATCATTTTGTAACCCCAACCCAATTAACACACTCATCCCTCCCTCTCCCTTTTGTGGATTCGGCCAAGCAGCAAGACAAGAGAGAAGCTCCGGCAAGGTGAAGAAGAAGAAGGAAGAAGAGGACAAGGTTCGCACGTAAGGTCATTCGTTCGTTCGTTCCATTTTCGCGTCCGTCAATCTCTTCGTTCTAAAAGTGAGTATGTTGCCCTCTAGCTTTAGAATCCGTAGTACATTTCATATCGTTATATTCATAGGATTACCCTGTAACACCCTAATCCGTCCAAGTCTGCAGCCCCTTTCGGACTAAAGTATTAACTTGGTAACGTAAAAATTTCAAACATTTAAAAACTTTATTTCAAACAATTGTACAAAGTATTTCATAATTACATCGGAGTAAAATTATTTAAAATAGTGTGGAAGCAATTTTTAAACTACAACAGTATGGTCAACCCATGTGATAAAATTATATACTTAAATAGTATATTTGTTCATGTTCACGTATCACCTTCATCTCAGTATTCTCCAGAATAGGCTCCACATTTATTCTCACTCATACCTACGTGTAGAAAGAAGAACAAGTCTACACGCTCATCAATGAAGCTGAGTGGTACCATGGCACAATAAAAGAATTCACAGAATAATTTCTTAAACAATACCACTCACATATATATATATATTCAAACATTCGCTTTTCGTATTTAGATTTGTCTTTGTTATTTTAACAATGATAATTAACAACCTCATTCAAGCTTATATATGAATCAGTCCACAGTTCACAATAATCACATGTCATTTTTATTATCACAGTATTCATCATTTGTCACACATCATTTCATATCAAGTTTTATAAAAAATAATTGCTCTTAACTTATTCTAAGCTAAGGCCAAATCATAGTAATGCTCTTAAACTATTCTTAGTCTAAGGCCAATTTAAATCTTAAACTAATTCTAGTTTAAGGTATTCCTAACCAACCCTTAATCTAGGCCTAGTTTAAGATACAGATTTTCAAAAAGGTTTTTAAGATCTTAAACTTACCTTCGCTTAAGGTCAACCAGAAACTGACAGCGTAGTGTTCACTGTTGGGTTGGGTGGTACCCCCAAACGAGTAGGTACTCAAGTTTGGTTCTTGGATCCCGTACGTACGTTTTAACCCTGCCACCGGACATCATACCCGCAAGGCCTAACTTAAATGGGTATATCTTAGAGTTGTTCTAGATATCCTTCAAATCAACATTAATATGGGTATATCTAGACACCCTTAACAATACACATTATATTCAGAATCATCAATATATTCATTATGATTTAATCATTCATGGTTAGCATTTTAATCAGAATATTCATCAAGGTTTAATGATCATAATCATCAATCAATAATCATCATCATAATAATCAATTAGTAATAATCATCATAATACAATAACAAATAGCGGCCTAGCTTCGGGTGTTAACACCCTACCTTACCGTCATGCATCAAACAAGATTCTTTATTCGTCAAAAACATCATATTTAATTACAAATATCATTTCCATATTGATTGTAATCAAATGGTATCAAAAATAGGATTTTACATCTTAAAAAGTAGCATTTTGTCTTAAAAATGTTTGCAACAGTCGACCGTTGAGTCTAAACGCTCGACCGTACCGTTCTAGACCAATTGCAGACGTACAGTACCTTGATACGGTACCTCAGTACCGTGACATAGTACCTTGGTATCGTTAAACGGTATGTAATTACTGCATACGTGCAAAGAGAAACGCATGTCACTATTCATCATCTTCAACCTTCAATCAAATTTCTCAAAACACCAGTTAAGCTTCTAAGCTTTAAACTAGCTTCATGAAAATGTTTTCTAGCGTCGATAAATCATTAAAAAATGATTTATTTGAAGCTTTAAGAACAAAACAGGTTTGGTGAATATGAATATCAAATATTTATATTTTTAAATATATATGCATCAATAAGTTCAATGATCATTCTAATGCCTTCTAAAGTTGTTTAAAATCATGGTACAGAACTGAAAATCAACAAAATGAAGCTCAACGAACAAACGGAAGCGAAAACAATGCTTGAAATCTTAAAACTCGTCACTTCACGTCACCACTGTACCACCCCTGGTTTTCGGGCCATATCTCCTTCGTTACTCAACGAAATCCCAAACCGTTTGAAGCTATGGATTCGTAAGACATAAGGCTACAACTTTTGTTTAGAAACTAGATTAAAATAACGATGTTTAGAGGGTGTAAAAATGCTCACAAGTGGGCTGATTTGCACAGGGATTGTTTTCTTCATTCAACTTTATGGGGCAACTTCCGGCCAGAATCATGGCTACCTCCGGCGACTTCGTCGGTGGCAATCACTTGCGGCATGTTCTCCTCACAACAAGGAATAGAATGGAAGAAGAATGAAGAATTTTGGTGGAGAATTGAAGGAAAATTGGTGCTCAATTTATAGGTGAAGATGAAGAGTTGTATGAAGTTTGATGACTTCATTTGGGGTAATTTTCTTTGATCCGTTCGGCGTAGTGGGGGTGGCGGCTGATCTTTGTAAATTTTACATGTCTCTCCTTGATTGGGACTAAAATAGTCCTAATCGGGGTATACTTTTTTGTTCAACTTTTTCAAATTAAAATCTGATTGCACCCTTGCGACCAGACAGTTAAACTCTAAGCAATGATATAATTTTTACATTTTTCTGAAATACTTTTTTTGACACCATATTTTTGGATGTTGACTTTAACATAGTCAAAATTGAATTAATTGATATATTTTATTAAAAGTACTCTCATATTCAATCAATATTATTCAATTTAAATCACTTATTTCAATAAATCATTTTACAAAAGTTCACATCTTTAACCACTTTTCATTTTTATGTAAATTATATATTTAAAATGTCACAACTCAAAATCTGTATATCAGATTTATTCATAAAATATATCGTTGGATTTGTCTTTTTGACTCCAAAAATTTCTTCATTTTGGTCAAACATAGAAATAATATTTTTGTTGGTCAAAATATTGTTTTGAAATTATTTTAGGGTAAATTTCATTAGTGTACCTGAACTTTAGCTGGAATTTCGAAGTGGTACCTAAACTTCAAATCCTTTCACAAAAATCTCTGAACTTACACAATCCTTTCACTAAAAGTTCATTTGCCTGTTTCCGGGTTAACTTCCAGTAATTTGGGCCAAATTAGAATTTTATATATTTTAAAATTTTCAATTTGACCACATTTCTTTTTTCTTTTCTTCTGCTCCCCGCCGCCGTCGCACCACGTCAAAGTCGCCGGAAAATCAACTTGGTCAGATTCCGGCGGGACTAACACCGTTCTCTTCGTCTTGAGACGAGGATCAAGAATATCCAAATCATTTTGTCCAATTTGGCCTGCAACTCCTCGAATTTGAATTTTTCCACTCGAAAAAAACCCTAAAATCCGAAATTGGGGGTTTTTGCAAATCGCCATCAAATCTTGCAATTGAGGGGTCCTTGGGGGTCGCCGAGATTCCACAAACACTTTGGAGGGGATGAGCGACGTCAATTTCGCCGGAGGTGGCGAGAAAACTCTCCAACCCGCCGGAAGGAGGCGGCATGATCTTTATCCTCTCATTAAGTCTGGAAGAGATTTACGTTGTGATATCAATTGTTAGAATGTAAGCCTAATGTTAGAGGGGGGAGGGAGAGGTGAATAGCGTTTGTGGACCATTAAAAATTGCAGGAATAAAAAATACGGAAATAAAAGCGAGAAAGTAAAGAGAAAAGGAAGGACACACTGATATATAGTGGTTCACCATAACTTGGGGCTAATCCAGTCTCCTGAGAGACTCTCTCAATCTACACTACATCAATTAAGCTTAAGGGTGCTTAACACACTGGTACAACTTGAAAACCCGAGTCACACGAGCCTCAACAATACACTGAAAGCATATACCCTTCTTTTCATCAACGAAGGGAACAACCTTCCATCAAAGTGTTTCTAACATTCAAGCACTTACGCTTAATTCTTCAATAATTGGCTCTCAAAAACTATGAAAAATGCATAATAATTTATGCAATGTAAAGCAATGAAAAGAATGAAGGATTGTATGTTAAAGTAGACCCAAAGGACCCCTATTTATACCAAAAACACAAGCCAGCAGATGGAAGAAGACGTGGGTTGATTGGCTTAATTTGTGCAAATCAAATCAAAGTTGGTTTGCGGGAAATAGAAAAAACATCGATGGTTTAACACCAACATCGATGCTCTTGAAGTTGACTTCCTTTTTGGAAATCCAAATACTTTGTTGGATTAGCTAACGGTCATGAGTAGGGCTGTTCAAAGATATCCGATCCGATATTTTAGCATGCGGATATTTCGGATCGGATACCCGAAAAAAATCGGATCGGATATGGATTAAATTTCTGGATTTTTTCGGATAATCGGATATCCGATTTTTTTTTGCTATATGTTTTTGGAATTTTATGGATATATATTATGACTATATGTTTAAATGTAATTTTATGTTGATTTTGGAAATCACCCATTTTGGACTTTTTGCATTAGCATTTTAGAATGTTTTGTTTTAATAGTGTTTTGTTTGCTTGTTTAGGCAAAATTACTAAAGTTACTCCCAAATTAAATTTGGTATCATTTTTTTATTAGGCCATTACCAAGTGGTGGAATTTTTCTTTTAGTAAATCTATATTGAATTTGATATTTTGGGTTGATTTTGCTATTTTACCTTTTTTTTGTAAATTTTGGCTAAAAACTCAACTTTTCGGATAATCCAGTGATCCGATCCGAAAAATCGGATATCCAAATTTTGGATATCCGAATATTTTCGGATCGGATATGGAATGAGTTTTGCATGATCCGAAATTTTCGGATATCCGAATTTTCGGATCGGATCGGATCGGATCGATCCGATTGAACACCCCTAGTCATGAGAACATCTATATTCAAAAGCCAACATCAATGTTCTGTTGGTTGACTTCTGAAATAGAAAAGATTTAGTCTTAAATATTTTTCAATGTTCACTAGGCAATATTGATGTTTAAGACTATAATGTTCGAAACCTATTGCGTAAAGTTGGAGAAAGGCAAAGTTGGTGAAACATCAATGTTCACTAGGCAATATTGATGTTTAAGACTATAATGACCCGAAAACTGACTTAGTAGTTAGCCATGATTTTTAACAAAAATCAATATAATATTTATTTCATTTTATAACTCAAAAATATGAACTATTTGTAAAGTTAACCTTTTTATTTAAAACTTAGAATTTAGGGTAGATCTCGTAAAATAGTGACCAACAATATATAGTTTAATGAGTTTGGACTAACGAGTAAAGAATGATGAGTAAAATAGAAGTTACGATTCAATAAATAAATATAAATTTTTTTTAATAATATAATATTAAAATATAATTTCCTAAAACTTGAAATTCCTAATCCTACCCAAAGTGCAAAGCCCAGACCCCCCTTCCCTAGCATGTGTATATGTATACATGGATGTGCATGTTGTAAGGGGAATTAAGAAAATATATAAGTTAGATGCATAGCAGAACCGAGAAAAGAAAGAGTGGAAGTCGCGCAGAGTACATGGGCATTGGATGTAGGTTCCTGATCGATGCCACTGCGGCCACTGATTGTTGTCACTGCTACTCTGCCGCACCATTGCGGTGACGCCGCCGTAACCTTGAATGATTTGATTTGCCAATGTGTTTAATTCATCCAATAATTGAGGTGATTACGTGGACATCTAACGCTAGATTTTGTATTAAGGTTTAAAATTTATGTTCGTAGTTTCATATGATTGATTACGTGGGTTATTTGATTATAATTTGAATTATGATTATTGTCAATATATGATATTATTGGAATTGATTGAACGATGACGACCAAGTATGTTTTCTTACTCGAAATTGTGTGATTTGCATGATAATAACCCTTAAAAACATTATGCATATTGAATGGTTTGAGATTGAATCAATACTTGTCGTTTCAGTGTCTTCCTGACGTTAGACGGTAGCTAGGTACCGCCTAGTGGTACCCAGCTAGTGCCACGGAAGGATTTCCATTGCCAGTACCTGCGCTCGGAAGGTAGGGAGTACTGAACTGACGGTATCGTAACAAGTACCCGATCAACACACGGTAGGCCCGTTTTCTTGTTTGTTTTTCCCGATTCGAATCCTGGATTGTTCTCGAGGTCTTGTGTGTTGCATGAGGGTAAGTGGAAGATGTTTACACTCAACACTAGGCCGCTAATTGTGTTATATGATTGATTATCTGATTATTGTGTTTTGAAAGTATATAAGGAATTGAGATTATTATTATTATTTGAATAAGTCTTAATTGTAGATATGTTGTAAATAAATGAATAGGCTATCTAGAGGAACTCTAGGTGTAACGCCCCAAAACATACCTTAGAATTTTTAATGAATACAAATTCGATTAATCAAATTTGTTTTGTTTAAAATAAATTGTTGTTGGGCTTTGGGCCGATACGAAATGTGTTTTGATATTCAATATCACAATCTGGATAAATCTTATAGAGATAAATCTAATATGTTGACTATTTGTGTGGTCTTCATTGGGAACCTGAGTACAGATCCAAATCAAGAATAAATGGAAGTGGACTTTAAAATGATTTATTGAAATAAATCATTATAATAATTAATATGAATTAAATATGAGAACCTTTTTGAATAAAAGTCAACTGAATCAATTTTGACTCTGTCAAAGTCAAAACACCCAAAAATATGATGTCAGAAAAAGTATTACAAATAATTATGAAAAATATATCAATGGATAGAATTTGACTGTCTTATCACAAAGGTGCAAACGGATTTCAGTTCGTAGAAAGTTGGACCAAAAAGTGTACCCCGACTGGAACCAAAATAGGTCCCAATCATTGAATGACGTAGGAAATCGGAACATATCGCAGCCTATCCCACTACGCCGAACGAAGGATCATAGACAACAACCCAACTTGTCATCTTCCCCTTCCTTCTCCTATAAAATGCTACCACAACTTCCTCCATTCTTCACCATTTTATACAATATTACATTCTATTCTCTTCTTTGTTGATAGAGGAGTGTAGTGGTGCTGATATTTTGGTAAGAGGTCGTCGGAGTTGGGAGTAATCGTTGCCGGAAATTTTGCCGGAAAATTTCTAAATCTTCGGTAAGCTTCGAGGTAAGCCCGTAGATATATCTAGTTACTAGAATGTTCGTATAGATCGTTTCTACGTTCATAAACGGTCGTTTGGTTGAGTTTTGTGTTTGACATGTTTGAAGAACAAAAAATCATAAACGTTGAAATTGTTGTTGAAACTACGAACTAATGTTACCAAAATGATCTATGAATATTGGAGAACATTTCTATATAGTTTAATTGATGTTTGGTGACTAAAAATGGAATTTCCAAAACTTGGCCCGAGGTTGAAG